CTCTGTAACCCTAGCTAATCTGGTATTCCACGGGGCTCGATCTCTGCCTGGTGTCTCTCTGAGTGAGCATCTCTCAAAGAACATTAGGGCCTTCAACATGAGGGAAATATTGTAGCGCTCTCCCAAGCCCTTCCCTCATTCCCAAATTACTTTAAGTCATCAGGAGCTCTACAACAAAACAAAACAAAATCTAGAGCTCTTTCTCTAGATCTGGCCCTGAGCCCTTTTATTTCCCTCCTCTCTCTTAGTTCTTAGGTAGATCAACAGCCTCTCCAGCTAAGGCCTCTCTCCTTATCCTCCTTATTTCTTGCAGAGTGGGATTTTCCTTATTAAGCAGGATACTGGGAAGGTTTACACTTGGTAATATATTTTGCCCCCCACACACGTATCGACTACAAAATGCCCGCTCCTGGTAGCCTCAAAGAATGCTCATGAATGAATGAATGAATGATCAGGATAGCCAGTTCACATGCATAATTAGGACCAAACTCTAATACCTCTGGTCTGGTGTCCCTAGAGTCCATTCTCCATACAGGAGGCAGAGGGATCTTTCAAAAATGTACCTAGTATCACTTCACCCCCCTGCTTGAAACCCTCCAATGGTTTCCCTCTACATTATAATAGAATTCTGCCTCCTCCCCGTCTTGTAAAGCCCTTCATAACCCGACCCCTGCCTACCTGACATCACATCTTGTGCCCTTCCTTCCTTGTTCGTCATGGGATTCCTTCCATGCCTTTGCATCGCTGTGTCCTCTGGTTGAGTGCTCCTACTTGTGATCTTCACGTGACCAACTCCTTCTTGTCCTTCAGACTTCACCGTAAATGTCATCTCCACAGAGGCCATCCATGACCTCCTGTCTCTAAAGTAGCTTCCCCCTCCATCAACTGATGAATGGATAAAGAAATTGTGGTTTATATACACAATGGAATACTACGTGGCAATGAGAAAGAATGAAATACGGCCTTTTGTAGCAACATGGATGGAACTGGAGAGTGTTATGTTAAGTGAAATAAGTCATACAGAGAAGGACAGATTCCGTATGTTTTCACTCCTATGTGGATCCTGAGAAACTTAACAGAAGACCATGGGGGAGGGGAAGAAAAAAAATGGTTAGAGAGGGAGGGACCCAAAACATAAGAGACTCCTAAAAACT